AAGTTCGAGCAAGCCATTAATTTTTGGAACGCAATTTTTTGCGATTCGGTCAGTGTAAAATTTCGGAACAAGTATTTTCGGACTTCTGGAGCTTCGACGTCCGAAAATAGGGGGGCAACTGATACGTCATGCGAAAATTATCTTGATCGGGCACGAATCTCGATTCAAAAGCTAGTTGAAAACTTCAAAAATTAATTCCGAGAGCACCTCAACTCCGATTTCAGCAAGCTTATAGTCGAACTGAGCGTCTCGGAAATACAAACTCAACGACACCAAGATCAACCCAATCCGAGCCCAAATGGGTCCAAATCATGGATCCAAAGCGCTGTTGGAAGGTTCAAACCGCAATTTGAGTTACCAAACGGACTCCGATTTTAACGAGCTTATACTCGAATCGAAGGGCTCGACGAGACGAATCCAACGAGCCCAAGATCACAGAATTCCGACATCACTAAGGCCTTCAAATGTCCAATGAACGGTGCACGATCGTAGGATTCAATATCCGCCGTCCATTTGACCACTCCCTATTCGCCCGTGATCTCACACCTATTTATGGGCCATGCCACTCTAGAAAATCTATAAATAGAGCTCTCATTTCTCACAAGAGAGGATCCAAGCAAGAGAGGGAAGAAGAGAAGAGAAGGAAGGAGTTCCTCCTCGACAGCCGCGAATATTCCAGGACGCAACAATACTATATCTAATTATCTATTATATAAAATCGTGAGTTTCTTTCCAAATATAATTCTAACATTTCATTTTAATTATACAAATTAAATCTCAGTCTTTTAATTTAAAATTTAGATTTTATGATTAAGAAATTCTGATTCAACCTTTCATTTAATCATTTATTACAACCTTCTCATTAATCATGCAAATCTACTTCTATAATGGGAGTGTAAGTGAGTCAAGTCGATTCGTGAGTAGCCGTCGTGAGCTGAGCTCGATAAGCTAATCCTGACTCGACTGTTAGCTAGTGAGTGGGCTTTTTCAAAAAATATTAATTTAAAATATATTATGATTTTAAATTTTGATTACAAAGTTGTTAAAAATATTTAAAATTTTTATTTCACTTTCTCATACAAAGTGATTCTTTATTATTTTCTTATAATTTCTCTTTTTTATCATTTTATTATAATAATGCTTAAATAATAATCATTTTTTCTCTTTTATAATAAACAAGCTGTCTCGTGAGCCGACTTGAACAGAATAAAGCTCGAGCTCGAGCTTTAATTCGATAAATTAATCAAGCTCAAGTTCAAACCATGAGTTACTTGAGCTCGGCTCAAATTGTTTACACGCTTAATTTGTAGAATCAATGCTACTATTATAAAAAGTATCGGGAAGGAAGAAATGCCTGTATGAGAATAAAATCAGAAATAAAGGGTGTGATGAGAGAGAGAGAGAGAGAGAGAGAGAGAGAGAGAGAGAGAGATTTGTGGGGGACCACATGTTTTTTAAAGAGATGATTGGGCTATTTTTAAATTGTTTCCAATTTTGTCATTAATTATATTTATTTGAGGGCAAATTATAATTAATTTGAGGGCAAATTTATAAATGTGCGTGTTCTTTATCTTTAAAAATGCTCAAACTAATTTTTAGCCGTTTTTTTACTTTTTAAAAATTGTATCACCGCCTTGCAAAATCATTGAAGTATCATCGTCTTCGAATCTTCGATTCTTCGTAAATGCCACTGCTGCGTTGGTTGCTATGATTTTATAAATCAATTTATTTAATATATAATAAAAATAAAAATAATATATATATAAAATATTAAATATATTTTATTTCATATCAAAATTTAAATAAAATAAAATAAATAATTTGAGTAAAACATATATTTTATAAATATATAATTAGCACATGTTTCATCATAGAGATTTCAACATGTATGTATTAAAACAAACTCTAATAATGTTTGATCTGTTGGCTGAAATCTTTGGGTATCAATAAAAAAGTCTTATATATGTGATGTGTAATGGAATTTATCTTAATTGATCTAAATGTTTCAAAAATTATCTTAATTGATTTAAATATTTTCACTTTTGTGGCGGTTTAAACCGCCACATGTCTGGAAGGTTGTGGCGGTTATAACCACCACAATAGTCCAGATTTTTTTTTTAAAACAAAACTTGAATGGTCACTGCAATCTAATGGCGACAATTGCAGGAAGTTCATGTCAAAAACACCACACATTAACTTCTATAAAACCTTCAACTATGCATGATTCAAATCAAGAAATTTCAAAGAATTACCTCATATGTTCACACAATCTTGTTTGAAATACCGCATAAAACAAAGTAAAAATTGAGTGAATAAAATAAGCAAAAAAACTACGCCGAGTCATACTCAATCAGTCTAACCAACTAATAACATTATCCACATAAGTACTTCAAAAAGAAACATGATCTTACCTCCTTTCATAATCAATCGGCTAACCAACTAATTACATTATCCACATAAACTCCCAATCTTCATTGCTTACAACTCCTTTCATAATCAATAGTAAATAGTCTGTCTTCTCCTCATATGTCGGCATGGATTTTCAATATTGTAATGTTAGTAGTCCTCTGTTATTCTCTTCTGTTCAATGGAAAAAAGAATCATCTATAGGTGGACTCATTGTGCGCATAATATTTAAAGAATAAATAAAGTTGATAAAGATAGTATAATCAAACTCATGAGATCTAACACTATAAATAGTGATATTCCAAGATCTAATGTAATATTTAATTTCCTAAACCTACTTTTCTCAACCAGCAATAGTAAGGGATGAAATGGGCATATGGTAGTGTTTGCGCATGCTTGATCAAATATTTTTTTTGTGTAGATGAGAAATCATAAACAATTCCAAATGTCTCTTGGGAGAAACATGAGCCAGTTAACATTTTAGAGAAACATGAGCTAGTTAACATTTCTAATGAATGAAGTGATAGAGAAAGTAAAAGCAAAAAGGAATCTAACTTTAGACAAATGATTTTCTGCAAAAAGATTTCAGAAAAATGAGAAGAAGAGGGAGAATAATACGAAGAAGAAGAAGATGTAGAAGAAGAAGGAGGGGAAGATACTCGCAGTGGGAAAGGATTGGCCATCCGAGGGTCTTCGTGTGAAAAGAGGAGCGACGCTCAGCGATTCGCTCCACATGGAGAGGCAAGGCGCGGGCGGAACTAGGGCTCGAAAGAGAAAGAAGCGCGTTGATAGCGATTGAGAATTGGGGATTTAATTACAAATCGGGGCTTTAGCATCGATTTAAACCGGTGCAAATTGTTTTAATTTGTACCGGTTAAAACTGGTGCAAAGGAGGAGTTTTAGAAGCGGTTTTAAAACCGCTCCTAATGACCGATGCAAAAGAATCTATTTTTTGATAGTGCATACGTGCAAAATCTTGAAATTAAGGCGGGATAAGCATTGCTTAATATGTCTAATCATATAGAAATTATAAACATTAAAAAAATGAGAGTTAAAGGGTTCTCTAAAGCTTATATATATATGTGGCATGCATATGATAAATTTGAGTTTAATTCGCTTATAAGTCCTAAAAAAGGTCTATAAAACATTAAAATTTTTATCACAATCCCTACAATTTTTAATATATCAGAAAAATGAGAGATTATTTTTTGTGGTGTCCGAATGTGTCGGGAAGTCAATTCAGATGCGCAACATCATCATATACCTAATATTGTGTGCTCGAATTTACTCCAGATACATCCGAACATCGCAAATAGTAATTTTTCCAGAAAATGACCGGAAACCAGAAGCCTCATCATTTTACCAATGAAAAAGTGTTCAATGCGAAGAAATTAGATAAGCCATGGCAATATTGCAAATTTGCAATCAGCATAATAGATGAATCAGTCTTATTTTATATTATATATATTTGGAATTTTCTTATTATACTGTTAGGATATAATTATTTTAAAATATTTAATTTTCAGTATAGACGACATTTGAAACATTAATTAAGCCTTTTTGCCATGGATAGAAACTGTCATCTCAGTGGCCTTCCATCATCTTCACCACGAATTCATCATAGCTGATCTGCCCATCTCCATCCAAGTCAATCTGACTTATCATTTCGTTCAACTCCTCATCAGTCAGTTTCTGCCCAAGGTTTGCCATCACTTGACCGAGCTGCAAATGTCCCACAATTCAGATAGCTTTAAAAAATTCCATTTTGTTTGTGCTTTAATGGAGAGTAGAAGCTGGGAGCTTACCTCCGCTGCAGAAATGAAGCCATCCTGATCTTTATCAAACATGTTGAAAGCATCCCTAAGTCCCTTCTCAGTTACCTTGAGCAAGGACATCGAGCGAGTTAGCAGCAGAGAGTATAAGAAAGAAAGCAAAATATCAAAAGGTGATATCTGCATGTTTAAAGATTAGCATATAAGAGCTTACGATAGAAAAGATGAACTCACATTTGTTTTGCTCGTCATAAGATTCAGAAACTCTGGGAAATCAATGGCGTTATTTTTATCAGCATCACATTCACTGATCATATTCTGCAATTGCACTTCAGTAGGATTTTGGCCCAATGATCTCATGACTGTACCAAGCTCTTCAGAAGTAATGAAGCCTTCTCCGGCATCAAAGTCAGATTAAGATCAACAAGAGAAGTGAATCATATCATTTAACAATTTGAAAGAAATTCAATCCTTGGCATGAAATGTGAACCAAAGGAAATCAAAATTGGGTTCGTTGCAACAACTGAGGCCATTTAGGGGCGGATTCAGAAATTTTTTTATATGAAAGCACAAATTAATATTAATTATTAAATTATTCTTAAAATATAATTTTTACTTAGTGTAAAAGACATATTTTTAATGAAAAATTATAAAAACATATTTAAAATCATATCCATTTCCATTAAAAAAATAGATATATCACTCTCTATCTTGTTATTTAATAAAAAACAATATTATTTTTATTATAAAATTGAGTTCAACTAAATTATTTTTATACTTAAGGTTATTTTATTTGGAATAATTAAATTAATTCTTAATTTTGAATTATATTCAGATTAAATAAATTAGTAAAATATCATAATATATATGCCAAATTTTAAATTAATTGTTTAATTCAATTCTATATTATTTTTATCAGATGAATTATAATAATACAAAATTATAAAGTTGATAGAATTAAACTAATTAATTTACTTAAATTTATTAAAAAAATATATCAATTTCCTCCTCCAAAAAAACCGGAGAGGGAGAGGGAGAGGGAGAGGGAGGGAGGGAGAGGGAGGGTGGCGTGGTGAGATATAAAGAAGAGAGAGAGGGCAGAGATAATAATTAATAACGAGGTATAGAAAAAGAAAAAGCATATCGTCAAGTCAGCAAAAAAAGAAAAAAAACTGGGCGGAGAGATTTTTTTGGGGAGGGGGAGGCGGAGGCGGAGGCGGAGGCGGAGGCGGAGGCGGAGGCGGAGGAGAAGCCAAAAATGATTAGTTTTAAAAATCAAATTTAATTTTATAATTTTATTATTTTTTTCCCAAAAAAAAAAAATTATTATTCTGATTTAAGATGGGCTGATTTTAATTATTGGGCCTTTCTAAAGTATTTTTACAAAGAAGATGCAATTGTTGATTGGCACAAGTTGGTTTGGCACAAACACCATGCTCTCAAATACTCTATATACTCTTGGATTGCAATTAATGGTGGCCTTAAAACTGCGTAGGAACTCAGGAAGAGATCCATTTTAGTTGAACCTAACTGTTTGTTGTGCGGTACCCATTTAGAAACAAATTCTCACATTTTGTTTGAATGTGATTATGCTTTTTCTGTTATATGCAATCTTATCTCTGTGCTGGGTGAGTTTCTACTTAGGCCCCGGCTGTCTTAAGTTCTTCATTACTTGGGAGATTTGGAGAGTAGGATTAAACATCAAAAGCAACTGTTATTAATGATTACTTTGTGTGCAGCCTACTATTTGTGGAGAGAAAGAAACGAAAGACGGTTTAATTTCAAATTTAGAAGTGTTATGATGCTTTGTAATATCATTAAACTGGCGGTAGAGGCTAAGGTTTCTACCTGGAAGCATAAAGAAAACTTGAAAATTCCATGGAGGGTGTAATGTGCTACTCTATTTTGTTCGGCTGGAGTTGTGCATTGCTTTATCATATTGAGGTTTTCCTTAGTCCTGTTTTGGTATTTGCTAATTTGGGTTTAGACAATTCAATGTATCTGGGAGCTTGGAAACCTGTCCTTGCGAGATGGCTGATTTCTTGCAATTTTTGGCCTTGGACATCCAGATGGCATTCCACTACAGTTTTGGTTCGCTCAGCACGTGTTATGTGGGTTTGAAAATTTTGGAGGTGCAAGCGACAGGACTATGATGTAGCTGCTAATCCTCTCCTTGGATGGCCTTCTTGGAAACCAGGAGATCACTCTCGATGACGCTCGATTGGTTTTGATGGTTCGCTTGATTAGCAGTCTGAGTCCTTTTGGGTCCTTACCCATCTTTTTGTTAACTGTTTTCATTTTATGGATCTCGTGTATTTTTGTTTTGGAGGGGGGTATAGGTTTTTGGTAATTCCTCTTGCTTTGTTTGAGGTTTTGTCTTTTTATTATAACTTACTTGTAATCTTTTTCATTACATAGTAATACGGGCTTTTTGCCCTTATTTTCCAAAAAAAAAAAAAATTATTGGGCCAGTGGGGCCCGTGCCCCCAGGGCCCCCACTGTAGATCCGCCCCTGGGTGAAATTATTATGTGTGGTTATCAGATTCTGTCTAGAGAGGAATCAGGAAGTGACATGTTACTTTTTTGTTCTATACCGGTGTTATGTACCTGGTGAATTGACTTATCCTGATTTGTCTCTGAACTGTCATGTGCATGTAATAATCTGTCCTATGAAACTGAAATACATGTATACTTAATTTACTATTTAAAGGAACTAAAGTTACAACACATATTTGAACCCTTATCTTATTACAATTCAAAAGAAATCAGGTTATAACACACATCTGAAATCATCATTTGAAGAATCAAAACCTCCATCTATATTAGACAATTGACAGAATCCACCAAGAGAAAAAAAATATTGGCAAACCTTACAAATGCAATAAAACCTAAAACAATAGTAAGAAAAAGTAGTGGCCTTTCATTCGCATGTACATATACTCCCTATGATCAAATTAAAATCAACTCCTTGCCCTAATTCATTAGAGCATTCATCAAAAATGATGACAGCCTGCGCACAAAATTTATCAGATCAAAAATTTTAAAATTTGTTTAGAAAAAAAAAGTTAAAACAAGATTAAATGTAGCAAAGTATGTCGTAACAATCCATTGTAAGACAAGAAATAATTGTCATATATATTAAGCACAATAGCATAACCATTAAGGATCCTTGCATAGATCAACAAATAACAAAAACCTCGTTATTTTAGATATAAAACTCTAGACTTAAAATTGCCTTGAAGTAATCACTTAGAATAAGATAAGGAGAGCGACACATATGTCAAGGTGGGTTATTGCATATACCATCGCCATTCTTATCGAAGAGGTTGAAAACCTCCTTGAGGTGTGCTATCTCTGCACTCGTCAGCCTCTCCATCTTTTGTTTGAGCTAGAAGAAAAATAAAAAGAATGACAAGTTATACTCTTCTCCCCTTTCTTTCTATATCTATTCCCCTTCCTTGATTGGATTAGTGAAGGAGAGGATGAGTTTTTGTGTGACATAGTTTTAGGATAGGTGGCATAATTAGAGGGAATGGACTTGAATCTAACAATATGAATTGGACACGTGTGATTTTTACATGGGAGCAATGCTAGGAAGGTGAATCACCAAGTTTTTTTTCCTTGAAAATATCTTATTATTATCCTTAAATTTCTCATAATTTTTTACAATATGTTTTTGTAGTTATTTATATTGAGATGTTAGACATATGCAACATATCATTTTAAATTTTTATTCATATATATCACCTTTTATTTATTCATTTTTACAATATTGTATACTCATCAAATTTATATATTTTTTTATCATTTGTTATAAATATATAGTCACTTAAATTTAATTTTAATTTTCTTGATTTCAATATAGGTTCTGTGATTCTTCATGTGATATAATCATTCATTGATTGATTCTTCTTAGTTTTACAACCGCATCTTACCATTCACATTTTTGCATGTTCATATTTTTAAAATAAAAAAACTATTTTTATTATTTATAATGTATGAAATTATCAATATTAATGCGCTTATTATATTATGTTCCTATTTTTTAAAATAAATAAATAAAAAATCTTTGAGGATCGTTTTTATTTGTAGCATACTGGCTTTAGCTTATAGAGATAGTGATAGAAGATATGATCCATATACCAAGCTCAGATTAATGAAGTATTAGGCTTCGTTTAGTAAAAAATATTAATTTTTTAACTAGAAATCTGCTTCTACAAGCAACAAAAAAATCGTCCCAAACAAAGTTTTAGTTGCCATTAATTGAGTCTGATTCATAAGTCATTTGTGTGATTGGGCCTTATAATAATTTGAGTCACTCATACTTATTCTGATTCGCCTTCGTATTCACAATTGAATTCTATCATTATGTTTGAAGATGTATGGGTCGAGTGTGATAATGATTTGTTCCAAATTTTTACATGATTTGATGAGCATGAAATTTCATTTGTTTGAAATTTTGCCAATATGAAATTTTTTATCTAGGCTAACACCCAAGCGAGTTTGAATAATCAAGATTATTCAAATGAGCAAATCCACAACTAGGGGTGTAAAAGACTCAAGTCTAGTTCAGTAATGACATTATCGAGCTCGGCTTGTCAGTTAAAAAACCGGTTTGAACTTGAGCTCGAGCTTGATTCAAGACTAGAAAATGAGCTCGAGCTTGGCTCGTCCTTTAACTCCTCGGCTCGAGTGGTCGATTTGAGCACATGGGAGTCCACTTAGGGATTTATTATTCTATGCGGAGTCTGGAGGACGTCCAAAGACCAATAAAAATGCGCTACGACACCCCAAAAATGTGCCGCGCTCGATATCAAGCTCGATACCCGCTCTTGATACCGCTCAGTACGAGCACTTAACCGAACGGAAAAATTGTTCGATGCCCGCACAGAATAAAAGCTCCCACTGGGAAGCACAACAGACAAAATGACGAAATCATTGCAGGAGAAAGAAGCTCTGCTCGTAGTTCATCAACTGGGTATAAATCAATAAATAAAAAAAGTGAATTTACTTATAAGTGATATAAATTAATAAATAAGATTATTTTTTATCCTGTATATTTTCTTAGTCAAACAAGCTCATGAGTCAATGAGCTGAGTCTTATAAAACTTGAATTCGGGCTCATTTAATGTATGTGATAGTTTTTGAGCACGAGGCTCGATAAGCTCGACTCGTGAGGTCGTTAGCAAATCGAATTTGAGCCGGCTCAGCTCACTTACATTCCTATCTACATCCTAATCTAAATTTATTTAGTACCCACCAAGTTTTTTAAGTTGATTATAATTTAAATATGGTGTGTATATATATATATATATATATATATATATATATATATATATATATATATATA